CCTCTCTGCTTCCATCCTCACCATCTTCATCACATCCGCCAGGGCGATGGGGCGCACCGCCTTGCTGGAGTACCCGCCTGGTGTTGTGTACCTGGGGGGGGGTGATGGTGGGCAGGGCTTTGGGACGGGTGGCATGGAAAGAGAGAAGGCGAGAGAGAACGAGGTTACCGGAGAGTGTGAGGCAGATGATCAATCACCTCTCCGCTTCCATCCTCGCAGTCTTCATCATCTGCGCCAGGGCTATGGGCCGCACTGCCTTGCTCAAGTACCCATGGCTCGGGTCAAATCGAAGCAAGGCAGTGCGGCCCATGGCAGTGCGGCCCATGGCAGTGCGGCCCATGGCAACCCTGGCGCTCGGGTCGAAACTTCAACTTGACAATTGATGAGGCAAGCAGCTATCCTCACAAGAAGTCATAGCACGACGTTCTCCTCGCCCTTCAATGCTACCTCTCACCCCCTCAATACATGGCTCGGGCCTGAGCGTCTTCAGGTTGACCTCCACGACGCTCGTGATGGCGCTCACTCAATGCTATCCCTCACTCAATGCTATCCCTCACTCAATGCTATCCCTCACTCAATGCTATCCCTCACTCAATGCTATCCCTCACTCCTCAATGCCACCTACGCACACAACCCTCACCGCCACCCACGCACACCTGAGCACTATCAAACCGCTTGTCCTCTACCCACTCATCATCCTCCAACCCCTCACCCTTCCACGCAGGGCTCGGGTCGCAGCGTCTTGAGGTTGACCTCCATAACACTCGTGATGGTGTTGATGGCGCTCACTCCCTCGCACCCCGCCTCCAGTGCCACTCGCGCTGGCTGCACGCGGAGAGGGAGAGGGAGAGGTGGGGAGGGGGAGAGGGGCAGAAAAAAGCGACATGTGAGTTAAGCTGCAAGAACGGTGATGGTCCACACAGACAGGGGGGGTGATTAAGGTGGCATTTACCCACTAAGACGTCTCAAAATCAAGGTTCAAAATTACGGTCGTATTTTGAAATGTTACCATTTTATACGGTTTCTTATAATAGGCTCCTGCGAGAAATTGTAGAGCAATTTCAAAAATACGGTCGTAATTTTGAACCTTGCTCAAAATACCCACCTCGGTGATATCAGTGATGTTGGGCGTCATCTTGGCCCACACGGGGATGTGAGCAGCGGCGTTGATCCACCCGCACACCTCGTGCAGCAGCTCACAGTCCTGCCCCATGGCCATGCCCATGCGCCTCTCCGGCATGCCGTGCGGACACGAGAAGTTGATCTCAAACGCGTCCTGCGTGCGTGCGAGTGAGGGAAACAGGTTACAGGAGAGAGAAATTATGTTTTCAGTCGACTCAAATGACTCGAGAAGTTGATCTCAGACGCGTCCAGCACGAGAATAAGGGGCAAATCGCAAGGGGATTGCAGAGCAGTGATCTCCACTGCATCACTCACCACGCCAACCTCCTCGCAGCGCCCAATGATCTCCTCCCACGCGTCCTTATTGAATTCCTCCATGATGGACGCTATGAGCACGCGGTCGGGGTACTCCGCCTTGAGCTGCTTCAGCTCCGCCACTCCAGTCCAAATTGGTCCGGTTCAGTGCGGTTCAGTCCAGTACAGTGAAATTCAGTGCAATCAGGCCCAACACAACGCACTCACCACTCCGACATCCTCGCAGCGCCCAATGATCTCCTCCCACGCGTCCTTATTGAATTCCTCCATGATGGACGCGATGAGAACGCGGTCCGGGTACTCCGCCTTGAGCTGCTTCAGCTCCGCCAGCATGACCTCGAACGGCCGGTCGCTGATCAGCTCGATGTTCTGCCACCCTATCACGTCGCGCGAATGCGGCGCGCGCAGCTTCGCGTACCGCGGAGTGACGTTGACCACCTTGGATGAGTCCAGAGAGAGCTGCGCCGGGGGCGGACGGGGGGCGCGGGGGGGCGCGGGGGGGGGGGAGGGGGAAAGAGGAGGAAAGGGGAGGGAAATGGGGAGGGAACGGGGAAACGGGGATGTGGGGGATGAAGGGAGGGAGCAGCAGCGGGTGAGTGAAGGTGGCCTTGACCTGCTTGAGCTCCCTTCGAACGGCCGGTCGCTGATCAGCTCGATGTTCTGCCACCCTATCACGTCGCGCGAGTGCGGCGCGCGCTGCTTCGCGTAGCGCGGAGTGACGTTGACCACCTTGGATGAGTCCAGAGAGAGCTGCGCCGGGAGGGGGAAGGGGGGCGCGCGGGGGGGGGGGGGGGGGGGGGCGGAAGGAGGGGGGAAAAGGGACGGAACGGAGCGGGGATGTGGGTGGGGGACAAAGGGAGCAGTAGCGGTGAGTGAAGCTCGCCTTGAGCTGCTTCAACTCGACGTGAAGCGAGACGCCGTTGAGGAGTGATGAGGAGTGGCGGAACGCGCGCCGGTGACAGTAGCGCGCCAGGACTATAACGGAATTTTGGGGCGTTTGGTATAACGCCTCGGTACCCACTGGGTCAAAACGGGTGTTATTTGGCGCAGCGGAATGCCCTGAACACAGCCCGCAGGCGTTACATTTGGCGAGAATAAGGACGAATGAGATGACATGAAAGGTAGAATTTGAGAACGGAGGGGGGGATAAAAGGACGTAACGAGCAACATACCGGGCCCAACTAGACAAATTCCGTCTGCAAAAGCGCATTCTCCTTTTGGCGTCTCCTTTCTTGATTTTTGATTTTGATTTTTATTTTTTTTTGCTCTCTCTAAAAACGAGGCCATCGCGGCTCAAAGCTCACCGTCTTGCAGATGACGCCACCCCAGCCCTCGTCGAAGGCCTTCTTCATGACCACGTAGTTGGTGCCGGGCGGCCCCGACGCGATGACGAACGGGTTGGGCAGCCGCAGCCCGTTCACCTCCACGCTCAGGTCCGGCCCCTCCTGCACCTTCCCGTCCACCAGCTTCGCCGCGCGCGACGCTGGCGCGCCGTTGCCCGTCGACGCGACGGTGGGGTTGAATCGCCCGCGAACGCGGGAGAGGGAGAGAGGAGCTGTTTTGATTTTCAAGGGCGGAGAAAGGCTGTGAGCGGAGCTGAGTGTCTTTGCTGGATTCGCGCTGGTGAAGGGACTCCAGGTGGGGGTTGACGTAGCCATTGCTGTCGCCATTTGATGAGAAGTTGAAGCGGGCTAAGCCGAGAATTTCAGCGACAAGTGAGTATTGTAACAGACTGCTCGAGCGTGACTGAAGTAAGAGGAGCAAGTGCGATGGCACAATCCGGAATCGGCGGACCAAGAATTGCTAGAAAGTGGATGGTGTTGCAAGAAATATGAAATTGGAAAGACGGCTGGACAACAAATCTTCGCTGAAGTATCTCGAGCACGCAAAATCCTAGTGTCTCGAAACGGTGGCATTTCGTTTTGACGCTTACAAAGTTCCTGCCACTTACTCAACACTTTAGCCGCAGACCCGTACAACTAATAAAGCCTGGAAAATGAAACAGCAGCTCACATCGTTGAATGAACACTTCCTGAAACAAACTTCTCACAGTCCCATGTGGCGGTAGAGATGCATTGTCTGTTGAAGCCACGTTGGCATCTGGGTTTTCCACCTACGCAGGGCTTTAGCTGGGGAGACATCTGGTGCGTGGCTTGTCAGCTCGACTTTGGCAAAGCAGATGTACAGCCAATCGAAACAACAGGCCAATAACATTATAGAACGACACAAAAGCAACAACCAATAAGCATTGCGAATCCAGCTTCACCGATGACGCGTTTCCCCGTTTTAGCGAATTCTGCTATCGGATTTGGGGGTTATAATATCAAACGACAGTGCTGCTTGGCAATGGTCATGGTTCTAGGCTTTTGCTAATATGTTCCACCATTATAGCGCAAGGTATTCCTTGGCCTTCCTGCCCATAGGATGCTATCCTTCCAGGTAATTTGACCACCTGAAGCCCAGGCCTTTTATGGGTGCAAATGGATGTGAATTTGAAGAAACTAGAGCAGATTGTCTTACAGAATTAGGTAGTATTGGTGTAGATGTTCACAGGGTATCGATTAGGGGAAAAGTAGAGTCAGTTTATAACGTAATTGAACCTCTTGCTGGAACTGAATTCGTCATGACTCGTGAAGCCAAATGGTTGTCACTCACGGCTCGACATAGTTGAGGCAACTGATCGGAATGGTCGCCCGTAGATTGCGCGCTCGCTAGCCCCCTCAACACCCTCGTCGTCCTGTCCCTCGTTTTGGCCCCATCATGTCTGCCCACGGCCGTCGGCTCAAGGCCTTATTGCCTCGCTTGCATGGCCAGCTGCGACACGCAGTCACGCCTTGCGACGCAGAAATTCACGCACGCGCCGTGCCCTTCCGCCGTTGCCCTACCTGCCCTCCCGCGAGAGGGCTCTACCGTGTGGGCCCTCGTTCTTTCACTGTTCTCGATCTGCCCCATTAAACCACAGGGCTTGCCGAGCATCCGAATTTCGCCCTGTCATCGCCATGCACGTTGTCTTAGTCCCCCAGCCACAGCCCTCCCTGTTGTGCGCTTCGCCACATCAGCCCTGGTCTAGGTGCGACGAACGCACAGAGGGACGAGGGGTGCCGCACAAACTCCAAACGAGGGACGTCCCGCCTCATCCCGCTGTTGCCACCTTTCGCAATTGCCATTTCTCCCTCGAGAACTCTCCCCAACCGCCTTAACCGCCCACGCCGGCCTCATCGCCCTCACCACTAGCTGCACGTCTCTCCCTAGCTGTTTGTGAGGGGGGAGGTCACAAACGGCCCTCACCACGCACCCACCTCGTCGCCTCACGGCCCGCTGGCTGCTCACACGCGCCATGGATCGCAAACCGGAGGGAGGTCATAAACTGCGAGGCGCACGGCGCAAACCCCTTCGTGCAAGGTCGACTTTCACATACTTGATTATGCTTCTCGTTTCGATTTTTGCCTTGTTCTTGCCGTGTTTTATGCCTTGTGGTTTGTTTCGTTCGGTTCTTTTTTGCTGCCTTTTCTTTTGTTTTTTTAGGCAGGCGATTAACGAGCAGATGGGCTAATTACTGAGTCATGTTTTATGTTCTTGTTACTCCCTCACGGTGCCTCCTGTCACGTCTGCAGCACCGACCAGCAGCGAGCAGCTGCGCAGCAGGCAGCACCGCAAACGGCTGCCAGCAGGGCTTCTATACCGCCTGGTGCCTTCTCGCCTGCGCCCGGCGCACGCTGTGGCAAGCGGACTTCAGAGGCTCCTCAAAAGGCATCTAAGCCGCCTGGCGGCACCTCCTCACCCGTGCCCAGGTCGCACCGTGGCAAGGCAGGGGGTGCTCCCAAGGGCTCTAGTGCGGCAGCGGGAGAAGCAAGGGCGGCAGGGGAAGGAGGAGGGGGAGGGACGCTGTGCGAGTTGGAACAGCACGTGCTGCCGTGGCGTGTGGACGACATCTGCAACGACCGCCTCCTCTCCACCCTCGTGAGATGCAGATGCTGCTTGCACGCAACCGTGATGCCAATTGAGCTTGACATGGGTAACTGACATTGCATTTGGTTGTTCGGTTCAGTTCGGTTCGCCTCTGTGATAGCACTGCACACGCAGCAGCCATTGCACTCGTCTCCTTCACCCTTGGGCCTTGTCCCCCACCCAAACCCCCTGTACTGCCCATGTCCCCCGCCAGGTGCGGCCCATCCCCACCACCTTCACCAACATACCCACCTACCTCGCTGCGTTCCGCTGGCCGCTCATCGACGAGTGCCGCGCCTCCCTCAAGCGAGCCCTGCTCGACCTCCCTCCCGCCTGCTCCCTCCCTGTCATTGTGCGCGCTCTCACGCGCGTGGAGCGGGGACCAGTGAGTGACTCGAGTGGGGGGGTGGATACCACTGCTTGTTTATGCTACGTGGACTTGGAGGTGTGCCGCGCGGTTGGGATCGGTGAGGCGGGTGGGATCGGTGAGGCGGGTGCAGCAGGTCAGCGTGTGGATGGCAGTGGGCCAGAGCTAAAGCCCACTCACGTGCTGCTGCTGTCCTCTGCGCCCCCCTCTCGCCCACCCGCGCTGCTCTCCCGGGGAGTGCTGCACTGCCTGGCACTGCTCGTGAAGCCACGAGGGGGGGCCCTGCGCGGCAAGCTGGTGGCTCGTGAGGGCTCGCGTGAGTACAGCACGCTTACAGCAGCAGTGAAAGCGGCAGCGGAGGGCGGTGAGCAGGCGAGTGCAATGGCAGTGCGGTGGTATGCCACCCCGGTGGGCTGCCTGGCCACGCCCCTGCGCGTGTGGGCAGCGCTGCAGGGAGGGGAGCAGCAGGGCGAGGAGGGGGCGAGGCGGAGGAGGATGCTGAGGGCCCTGCTGTGCTCCAAGGAGAGGCAGGCTGGAGCACAGCAGCACGGGAGGCCCAAGGCTGGAGCGAGGAGAGCAGGAACGGAGTGGGGAGAGGTAAGGCGCCAAGGCAGTTTGGAGGGACGGGGAGAAGTGGGAAGGTTCGGTGTTGCATTCGACTAATTTCCTCCTCCACTGCTCACGTTCTCTTTGTCCCTCTGCAGCGAAGCTCGGCAGTGCCTCCAGCCATTGCAGCGGCGCCTCACGAGGCAGCAGCTGTGCTGCAAGCTGTGTCGGACCTCTGCACTGCCCACCACCTCTGCACTGCCCACCACCTCTGCACTGCCCACCACCTCAACCACTCCCACCACGCACCCGTTCTCTCCTGCCTCTCCGCCCTCCTGCCCACCCCCACCCCTCCGCCTGCTACCGCTCTCCTCTCCCCACCCCCCGTCGATCCCACTACCGTCCCCCTCCTGCCCCCCTCCTCCACTGCTGCGCTCCCCTCTTCATCCTCCTCCTCCTCCTCCTCCTCCTCCTCCTCCTCCTCCTCCTCCTCCTCCTCCTCCTCCTCCTCCTCCTCCTCCTCCTCCTCCTCCTCCTCCTCCTCCTCCTCCTCCTCCTCCTCCTCCTCCTCCTTCTCCTCCTCCTCCGCCCCGCCGCCCCTGCAGCTGGTGCAAGGGCCGCCGGGCACAGGCAAGACGCACATGCTGTCGGTGCTGCTGTGGGCGGTGCTGTCTCTGGGCGTGCGCACGCTCGTCTGTGCGCCCACCAATGTGGCAGCCGCCGAGGTGGCCCGCCGCATGCTGCGCCTTGCTCTCGCCGCTGACCCACCCCTGCTCCTTCCACAGCGCTTCTGCCAACCACAGCGCGCCCAGGGCAGGGGTGGCGTGGCCGCGGCAGGGGCAGGGGGAGGGGCAGGGGACGATGCAGGGGCAGGGGACGATGCAGGGGCAGGGGCAGGGGCATGGGCAGGGGCGCGTGGGGAGCGAGTGCAGGTGGGGGACATGGTGCTGTTGGCGAACGAGGAACGGGTGGACGTGGATAGCGAGCTCTGCTTGCTCTTTCTCGGCCGCCAGGATGGCAGCGGTGGCGCTCGCAGGGGGCGGGTGTGGCGGCTGCAAGCGGCGCTGAGTGGGCTGACCGGGTGGAGAGGCGCGTTCAGCGCTCTCTTGGGCGTGCTGCAGTGCACCGGCGAGCAGCTGCGCTTGGAGTATGAGGAGCAGGAGGAGGAGGAGCGTGAGGCGCATTCCGCAGCCAAAGAGGAGAAGACTGGAGGGGGTGGTGGAGGGCAGTGCTGTGGGGATGGCAAGGCGGAGAGCAGCGGTGGCAGGAGGCGTGAGGCTGCTGACCTGCTGAGCTTCTTTCGAGAGCGAGTGGGGAAGCTGGTGAAGCAGGCGAGGGATGCAGCTGCCACTCTGGCCCAGGACCTGCCGTCCTCCCTCCTGCCGGCACACCACCGCACGCTGCTGCTGCAGGCTGCTGAGCTCTTGCCTGCACTGCTGCACGTTCTGGCGTGGCCTGGGCTAACGCCTGCTGACGTCCTGCAGTGGCTGGATGGCGGGACGAGGAGGACTGCGAGGCAGGAGAGTAAGGGGATGCGAGCAGTGCTGCAGGAGGCTGCAGTGCTGGCGGGGCTGCCTCGTGGGAGTGGTGGGGCCAGCAGCGATGGCAGGGGGAAGAATCCTCGGAGGAACACAAGTGTCTCTGCAGTAAGTCCGGCTAGCGAAAGCAGCAGCAGCAGCAGCAGCAGCAGCAGCAGCATCACCAATAATGCTGGTGCTTCTCTCGATCGTGTTGCAGGGCTCTTCCATGGCATCCGCCACCACCTGCAAAGAATCCACGCAGCCAGCCCGGCCTTCGATCTCCCCGGGCTCAGCAGCAGCAGCCCATCGTGGGAGAGCATAGCGGAAGCATGTGTGAAGGGCGCGCTCCTGGTTCTCTCAACCGTGTCATCGTCTGCGCGCTCTCTCATCCGCCTCTCGGGCGCCTTCCCCCTGCTGCTGCTGGACGAGGCAGCTCAGCTGGTGGAGGCGGAGGCGCTCGTGGCTCTGCAGGCAGACAGCGTGCAGCACGCCGTGCTGGTCGGCGACCCTCGGCAGCTTCCCGCTACCATCATGAGCAAGGTGGGTGGGTGGGATGCGGTGGTAAAAGAAAGTATTGAAACTTTATTGATACGGATTTGGTTGGGGTCTTCGAGTTGTGTGATAAGCCGCATGCCTTGGTTCGGTCTGCGATGTATGGTGCTCTTCAGAGGTGGATTGCTTGCAATGGTACAAGTATGTGCTGGCACGTTAGCAAGCATGTGAATGGTCCAGGGAAATAAGTAGTTGGGCTTTTTTCACCAGCTGGGCTATGGTTTGCTGTGGTCTCTGTTTAAAGGAGCTTTTGCTACCTTCCGTGCTGCCCCACCCGCTTTATTGATTGTCGAAATTATCTTCCAAGCTTGGTGGTTTCCCCCTTTTTGCTCCTGTGTGAGCAGGTGGCAGAAGCAGGTCACTACAACCGCAGTCCATTTGAGCGCCTGCAAGGCAACGGGTGTTTCTTAGGCGCCTCAAAAACAGTTTCCCCTTTCTTCGCCCTCATGCCCAGGTGGCAGAAGCGGGTCAGTACAACCGCAGCCTATTCGAGCGCCTGCAAGGCAACGGGTGGGCGGTGCAGCTGCTGAGCGTGCAGTACCGCATGCACCCCGCCATCAGCGCCTTCCCCTCGCGCTGCTTCTACCGCGGCAGCATCCAGAATGGCGCCAACGTGTGCCGCCCGCAGCACAGCCCGAAGCTCCTGCAGCCGCTGTTTGGCGCGTACAGGTTCTTTCACGTGAAGGGCAGGGAGGAGCGGGAGGGCAGGGCTATGGAGGGAAGCAGTCGCAGCATTGGCAACTCTGTGGAAGCTGCTCTCGTCCTCACCCTCCTGCATCGCCTTGCTCTCGGTGGGCCTTGCATGGCTTGCATGTATCCGCTCATCCTTCTTCTACCCTTCAATCTTACACTCTCAGGGCTACTTTCTTGCCTGGTTCCTGCCTCCATTCTCTCACCCTCGCTTCCGTTTGTCCCTTCCTGCCACTGAACCTGCAGCATGCAGAGGGGCAGCGGCGCACACGCAGGGAGCCACGGGGCTCAAGGTGGGGGTGATCTCGCCGTACAAGCGGCAGGTGGAGGCGCTGCAGGGCGCGGTGCAGGCGAGGGAGGGGGCGTGGAGGCAGCTGCTGGTGGAGGCAGGTACTGTGGACGGGTTCCAAGGGAGGGAGTGTGACGTCATCATCCTCAGCACCGTGCGCTGCAACACGCTCGATTGGATTCGTTGCCGACCCCCGACGGTATGTGTGGGCTTATTGAGTTTGCTGAGTTCAGGAACAGGAACTGATATCCAACACTCCCTTTCCCTTTGCTTGAGAGTTCACGCTTTGGATGAGAGAAGGGAAATCGATTGTTTATTGGTCCCTTCTGTCCGCCCTCTGCCATTTCCTGTAATTCTAGTCTGAACGTGGCAGTGACACGAGCCCGCCATGCCATGTGGGTGGTGGGTGACGGTGACACACTGAGGCGGGGCAACCGCACGTGGGAGCAGCTGCTGGTGGATGCAGAGAGGCGCGGGTGTGTGGTGAGGGCACACAGTGATCCAAGGCTGCAAGGGGCTGTCAGGACGGCTCATGGGGACCGTAACAAACCAGGCCGGAGATTCGTAGCACAGTAGGATGTGATGTGAAGCGCAATTTGACGAGATTCCATCGAAGCCATTATGAAGCATTTAGCTTCAGCAGCTTCACAGCCTGATGCTCTCCAGCTGAGTTCATGTTTATGAGGTTCCATGTGGCATGGCCGCCACTGCCGCCGCAACAGCAAACGCCCCCTTGCTGCGCCAGCTCAGGAACCTTGTGTGCTGGAGAGAAATTACGGTGTCTGTGTGCTTACTGATTACTCAGCACCCAGGAAACAATTTCATGCTGTAAAGTAAAGCTCATTTTCAAAGGACAAGCCATCAAAGAACATTGTGACAACATTCCGAGGGTTGGTTGGGGCGAGCAACACAGTTGGCCAAGACTATGAGTGCGAGGGCCAAACTCAACTGAGGTTAGGAAGGTTGAACATGTTTGACCCTTCCATCCGTCCATCCCAATAAACAAAAATAGCGTGGTAACACAATATAAATTGATTACAGGTAAACATCCTAGTTTAAACTGAAGCAGCAACAATTCCTAATATTATACAGTGTACACATCACTGCCTACAAGTCAACATGCATTCCCAAGAGCAGCTGGGAGTTGTTCAGTTGGTGTCACTGTTGTTCCATCACACCATTCAGTGTTGTAGCCTACCGTATGTATACAGTATATGCTCCCAACAGCAGCTGGGAGTTGAGTGCAGGCATTGTTACACGGGCTCTTTTAGGAGCTCCTTCTGTGCGCCCTGCTGCTGCTGCAGCCTGGCCTCGCCTGCCTCTCATGCACCAAACCCTCTCTCCTCCCCGCCTGCTGCTTCACCCCCTCCCTATCACACACGCCACTTGCCACTGCTCTGCCACCTGCTGCCTTCACACCACCCTGCCTTCCACCTGCTGCCCTCCCTGCTGCTCCCTCCCCACACCCACCCCCCTCTCTCCTCTTCACCCCACCCACATGCCTGCTGCTGGCCTTGCCAGCTGCTCTCACTGATGATGCAGCACCACGTGATCCCGCAACCGCAGATGCTGCTGCACATGGGGCAGAGCTTGCATACGTGTTGTTGCCCTTGCCACCCTTCACAGTCGGGCTCACCACCTTGCTGCTGCACCCATTCTTGCCCTTCACGGTTTCACCACCCACCTTGCACCTTGCTGCAACAGCAGGCTTTGGCTTCTGTGTTTCTGCTGCTGCTGCTCCTCTCACTGGTGATGCCGCAGCAGGTGATTTCACTGTTGTTTTAGCTGCGGGCGAGGGAGCAGCTGGAGCTGCGGACACTGCTACAGTCGCTGCTGCTGCAGATGCAGGAGGCACGATTTTGCGAGTCAGATTCGCCACAGCATCAGGATGCTTGGGCAAGAAGCAGGTACGCAGGGCGGCTTCAATGGCCGCTTCAATCTCCATGGCCCATGATGGCTCCTTGCTCCGCTTGTCCCACCTCAGGTAAGCAGCACGTGTCAACGCAATATCCATAGCTCTAACCTCCTCACGCAGCTTCGACCACCTCGCTTTCTCACTCGGATCAGCAGCGCATGCACTCGCCTCCTCGGATATTGTTTCTGTGGTCACACTCGCTTCAGACACCTGAGGTGTGGTTGAAGCCACTGTAGCCGCAGGCGCTACCTCAGGCAGCAACACAGGCGCAACCACAGCAGACGGAGTGACTGCAGCAGCAGCAGCAGATGGTGAGAAGGGAGCAGCAGGGACGACCGAAGGTGCCACCACGGCAGCAGCAGGCTTGCCTCCGAAGCGGCCGATTCCAGGCCGCTTCACATCAGGCGCGTCAGGTACAACGTGCACCTTGGCGGGCTTGTGTTGCCCGTCAGCGACGCCTTGGGAGGCCAGTTTCTCCAGCAGCGGCCTCACGCTCTTCAGAAGCACGCTGCTGCAGAACGTCTTACTGTCGTCGTTGCAAGCAGCAGGAGAGGATATTACCAGCGAGAAAACGGTTCGCGGGGTTCCGAACCTGCCAATGCCTCTTGTATGCGTTGCAGGATTGCTCGCGGTTTGAGAAGCAGAGTTGACAGTGCAGATATCCACGAGAGAGGCCATGTTTATTGACTGCGGATTGCTGAACAGAAGGTGATCCTTGAGCAGAGGCTGATTTCTGAAAAGCTTACTCTTTGCAGATCAACAGAACGGCAGAGGAAGTGGGAATGATGAGTTCCAAGCGTGTGGTGGATCCCACTTGTTCTGCACTCCGCCCTCGCCAGCTCAAACCCTCGCCTCCACCCCCACATGCCTCGACTGCCTGAGCTTTGGAGTTTCAGCCTCGGCCTGCCTTGCTGTCTACTCGTACGCATGCCACGTGTCGGAAATCGAACGGTGGGAGATGAAGCAGCAAGGTGTGCGGACGGATCTGAAGGCGTATTATGCTGGGGTTCAGGTTCGGGATCTCGATGGCGTCGCGTCAGGCATAATAAGAGGGGGTGGGAGATTCGGGGAGACTCTGTCGGTGTCGGTAGGTTTCTGGTCCTTGAGTCCCTCGAGTCGCCTCACCAGTTTCCCGCCATCCTTGTTGTTCTCGATTTCTTCCCTAGCCGTTCCTATGAGCTTTGTTACAACAAACCGTTTGGATACGATTTTCGTTAAATAACTTCGCACAACGCTACGGCGACGGGTCTATCGGTTTCATCTCGTAGCATGGTGTGTGAGGCAAACGGGTTCGGGCTGTGCTGTTCTACTGAGCGGATTTGGATCAGATCCAGCAGCCATTGGGTTTGGGTTGCCTGCCCCTTGTGCAGTGGTGTGGAGAATCGAGGGAGAAAGTGGGAGTCCCCTAGCTAGCAAATCCTGTCTTATCCCCTTTATATGCAGTCGTCTCTTCGTTTGAGTGGAAATTCAATTCGAAATGCAATATTCATTGGAGTTCTCTCTAGTAGTTGAATACACGGATTTGGGAATTTGCTTGTTCACAGAGATAAGTCTGTGCGGTACTAAGCGTTTTTAAGAGTGTTGTTCGCGGTGCAGCGTGTTACGAGGGTAGTCTGGCGTGATCGGGCGGAGTTCGGAGCAGCCAGCCATGTCATGAAGGCGAATGACAAGCAGTCATGGGAGCACCACGCCATAAAAGCCCGCAGGCGATCACGAGCCTTCAGGCGATCACGAGCCCCCAGGCGATTGCAAGCGCGCAGCGTGCCAGAGATTACGAGCGCATAAGCGATTGCAAGCACTGTTAGAATCTAGCAGTAGGAATGATGAATTAAGAGCATGCAGGAGTACAAATAGGAAACCCTAATTGGGTTGTACCCCATATGGGCTACCCCACTACAGCCTAGACAATATGCAGCATATATGTTTGACACACCCCCATAGGCAAAGTGGGGGAGAACAAGGGGTCACACGACCAGTCAAGAGACGCAAAGCAAGCTCAGGGTGGATCTCAACGTCACCACACATTCTGAGCACAAGCAAAGGGCCGCAAGGCCAGTCCACATGCAGAGATATATATAAGCAACAAGAGCAGTACAGTGATCAATACCTAGCAAGAGCAAGCATGCAGGTATAAATATAGAGCACAGTACACACAAAAGACTACAGCAAGTGTGGAAACGTAGGCACAAGGCCTAACAAAGTACAAAAGCGCTGATGATCACCAGACGGAAGTGCCTTGGTGAATATATCAGCAGTGTTGGCCCGAGTGGCCACGTGTGCAAGACGAAGCTGACCACGCTGCTGCAACTCTCGAGCCAGAAAGTACCGCAGAGCGATGTGCTTCGTTCTGTGCTCCAGTCTGTGCTCCTCACACAAGGCAATGGCAGCCTTGTTGTCGACGTACAGCACTGGAGGAGAACGAGGCCGCTCTCCCAGGTCGGTCAGCAGGTAAGTGAGTCAGCGTGACTCCTGAGCAGCCATGGCGGTGGCGTAGATCTCAGCCTCACAACTGAAGCTGAGAACAGAAGACGAGCGAGTAGAACGCCAAGAAACAGAACCAGAGCCAAGGCTGAAAGTGTAACCCTGTGACGACCGCTGCGTAGCCTGGTCGTCAACCCAAGAAGCGTCTGAGTGCCCAGTGAGGACCACCTCTCGCTGTCCTCCAAGCACGAGCCCCATGCCCGATGTACTGCACAAGTAGCGCAGTACCCTCTTTGCAGCATCCCAGTGCACCTTTCAGTGCCGACCAGGAGCCACGTAGCGAGCCAGAAGGCCAAGAGGGTACGCAAGGTCAGGACGAGTGCAAGTCATCAGGTACATGAGGCAGCCAACTAGCTCTGGGTAAGGACCACTCGGCTCTACGGACTCATCCGAAGGCAGAGCTGAGAGCGAGTGACCTATAGCCAGAGGAGTGGCCTGTGCTGAGGACCAGGTGAAGCCGAAGCGCTGAAGGACCTGCTGCACCATGTGTGACTGAGTCAGAGTGATGGTGCGGCGTGCTCGGTCCCGGGTGATCTGCAAGCCAAGGTAGCTGCGCAGCTCACCCAGGTCTGTGCACGTGTGTCTCTTCTGCAGCTCGGACTTCACCAGGGCGAGGGCCTCAGTGTCAGCAGTAGCAAAGACCAAGTCGTCGACGTACACGAGGATATAGAACGGCGGCAGCGAAGTGTCGGTGCGTAGAAACAGTGAAGGGTCAGCAGTCGAAGGCGCAAACCCAAGAGCCGCAAGGGTAGTCCTCAGTGTGTCGTGCCACTCACGGGGTGCCTGGCGGAGACCGTAGACTGGCCGGCGGAGGCTCCACTGGGTACCAAGAGGGAACGACCCAGTGAAGCCAGGTGGGCGGCGCAGCCAGATCTCCTCGTGCAGGCTGCCCTGTAGGAAAGCTGTGCTGAAGTCAAGGGAGTGAAGCTCGTAGTCACGCTGAGCGGCAACGTGCAG